CCGGGAGTCAACTGATGAACAAAACAAACACACCCAAATATGCTATGAGGTAAACTAAACAAGGGTGAACGGGGAAAAAGAATGGAATGGGGAACCGTGCCATTCAAGGTAGAGGATGACATCTGGTTGATTAAGAACCGCATCGTCCCAGAAGTGTTTGGGAACGTTCATCTCAAAAAGGAGAGTTCGGGCCACTTCTAAGAGATGTTGATTCTTACGCTCAGCAACCCCATTTTGTTGTGGTGTGTGAGGGCAAGAAGGCTGATGCAGGATACCAGAGTGCGACATAAAGGAAGTAAATGGCTGAGAAAAGTATTCTCGAGCATTATCACTACGAAGAATACGCACTAGTACATTAAATTGAGTTTTAATTTCAGCACAAAACGCACGAAAAATAGAGAATAATTCTGAACGATCTTTCATTAAATAAAGCCAAGTAACTCTGGAAAAATCATCCACAAAAGGAACAAAATAATGAAAACCAAATGTAGAAGTAACACGAGAAGAACCCCAAACGTCTGAATGAATTAAACAAAAAGGACTCGATGCTCGAACATGAGCTGGGGAAACAATTGAAACACGATGATGCTTACCCAATTGACAAGACTCACACTCTAATGAAGACAAATGACTTAAACTAGGAATAAGTAACTTGAGGTTGCCAAGGCAGGGATGACCAAGGCGACAATGGATCTGGTGAGCGGATGCAACAGCAGGACAGGCAGTAGGTGGGCGTGCAGGACTCTCATCATGATCAAGGTAATAAAGGCCATTTTCCTCACGCCCTGTGCCAATCGTCTTCCGCGTCCTCAAATCCTGGAGAACGACAGAATCAGGAAAAAATGAGACAGAACAATTAAGATGTTTGGTGAGCTTACTAACTGACATCAAATTAAAGGAGAACGAAGGAATATACAAGACAGAGGAGAGAGATAAGGAGGGTGAGGGTTCCACTGTACCAATGCCACGGATAGGGACAGTGGAACCATCAGCAACTGTAACAGGGGACAACGAAGAAGATGACTGAATATGCGTAAATAAAGAAGATGTACCTGACATGTGATCAGTGGCCGCAGAATCTATGACCCAAGGTGTGGGAGGGGATGGGCGAATGGAAAGACAAGCAGAAGAAGTACCTCGTTGAGCTAAAGAAGCAATGGGAAGAGATGCCTGTTGAGATGCCCTATACTGAAGGACCTGAGCATATTCTTCATCAGATATGTCCTTGGCCGCCTGAGATTCTGGAATGGTAGGATTATCTGGATTAGATGTCACTGCATTGGCAAATTTGGGTGGACGGCCAACTAAATCCCAACATGTCTCTCTATTATGATTCTCCAAACCACAAAAGGAACACTGACGAACGGACCCACGACCACGGCCACTACGTCCACCCCGATGGCCACTACCACGGCTACCACGAGAGAAACCACCACGAGCACCACTAAGTTGATCACCTCGATTTCGTGTAGGAATCTGTGTAACAAGTGCTGAATGCTCAGATGACGTAGATGAACTCGAGCCAGAAATATTGTCCTTGGTAGTGCTACGCGAGACGCGAGAATACATTTCAGTGATGGTGGGGAGAGTAGCACTGGAAAGAATCTGAGATCGGACTGGTTCAAATTCTGGACGTAATCCAGCCAAGAACTTCATGACAGCCATCTGCTCACGTTGCTTTTGCATTTTTTTCAGATCGATAGTCATTGGTAGGATGGTATTCATCTCCTCATAGAGGCGGTTGAATGTGGCAAAATAATCTATAACAGATTGCATGCCTTGCTGAAGTTGGAAGTACTCTACCGATAAATCATACATCCAGTGAGATTACTAGAATATAATACACAGAGATATTCTCATATATCTTTGCACGTATCTAGATGAGTACAGAGATTAGCCACCTGAGGCTCCATCGAACTCCACAGCAATGTTACAATCTGTTCATCAGCCGGAATACAGTCGTCATATTTTTTATCATCTATTGCCGGGGCGAATTCTGTGAGGTGACGGTGTTTTTTCTGTCCAGTTAAAGCTATTTTCACAGCTTTATAACTAGACTTACGAACATTTGTAGTACTGTTATACGAACAATAACCAATAACTGAATCAAATCTGAAACCAACAGATTGAACACCGATCAGAACCAAAAACTTCAAATAGTAACCCGCCTGATGAACAGAAACCGCCGGATGAACAGTATTTTTTTTTTTTGGAAGTAAAAGCGTAGACAGAGAAAAAAAGAAGGTTTGAACAAATCTTATGGAATTAATCTCCCATAACCTTGCTTTGATACCATGTTGAAGTAAAAGAATAAAAAGGCTTCACTATTGTGTTAGCCCCTCACACTATTTATAATAAAAACTTAGAAAACTCAAGTATTACATAAAAGACTTAAATACCCTTTAACAGTAACTATTATTAAGGATATGTATGATGGAGCAGTCACGAGCATGAGACGTGGCAGTAGCAGTAAATAATTCTGTATCATTATAATTTTGCTTCAAGGTTTTGCTTTTAGTACTTACCTTTTAGCCTTAGTGAGAGATGAGTTTATATGATGTATTCAAGATGAGGCACTTTGGTATATTCAAGATGAGTTCATTAGGTATATATTATTTGTTGACAAGACTATAAAAGGGTTCAGTAGGAAGTAGAAGTTTGAAGTACTTTGGTGTCTAATGGTTTGGTTGTGAAGAACCAAGACACCCTACATGCACTGTGTGGTCCCCAAAGCTGATTGTCTTAGTAGTATGAATTAAAGATGATGTAATGCACAGGATTAGAATGAGTTGGATGACATGGAGAAGTGGTGCAGGAATTTTATGAGATATAAAACTTATATGTCTGTGGTGGTTGTTAAGGATCAAGTTGCTTTTGATTTTCAGTAGATCTAGAAATCAACCACCAAACAGTGGCAAAAATGGATTTATGTAGCCGACTTCATGTTTATTGGGAGCATTGCTAGTTCTTTACTGATTAGTCAAAAGGTTAAAATATGGCTACCATAGCTGTATATAATTTGTTATATGGATGAACGCAGATTCTTTCCTGCCCTCCCTTGTAATTTAAATGTCGAAGTAATATCAGATGAATTGATTCAGACAAGGCACTGCTGATTATTGCAGCGAAGATCCGTTAAGTCATTCTTATAGGAAGTCCTATGTCGTAGTTTTTTTCTTCCTTTTTTTCACATGTAGGCGAATAAATCATTCAAGTGGTTGTCCTAGTCTCAAGAAGAATGCTGTCTTGTTATTCAATGGCTACCTGAGTTATTCTTTCTTTTGACTTAAAATAGGTGGTGCAATTTTGCCATTGGAAGGCCTCAGAGTTGAAGACAACTGAACTCAAAGTCTTATCCACTGATGTGATACCTCTATCTAAATCTCAGCGGCTGAAAATTAATAGTCAGAAACTTGTGCTTCTGAAGGATCCTCAGCTGGCCGAGACATTTTTCGGGGGTGTGACTGGTGGCAATAACATGCAGCGATCATTCGACTTGAACTGGGTTAGTTTTTCCGCTGGAGTTACAAAATGGGAAGCATATATCTGTAAGTTGCAAAAAGAAATGCTTATGAGCTTACCATGTTGGAGAAGACATCAGTCTATTTTCTTGTTGGACGGTTTTAATCAAGGAGTTTAGTGCACATTCCATATTTTTATTTCAGTTTTTTTGCTGTTCGTTAAGTATGTATCATCTTGGTTTCTACTAATCCATGTTATGATTTATGACCCTTCATTTGATAGGGACGTGATGCGTATATATACTGCATACCGTTCTACCGTAGGTTATGATCAATTTGTAAAACCAGTGGCTACAATACATCAATTTGTAAAACCAGTGGCTACAATACAATAGGTAATTATACCGATATTTCACCTGCACCTGCATTCGATGTACTTTTGTTGTAGGAAGAAGCATTTTACTAGTACTGATCATTGTTAATAATGCTAACGGCGTTTAGCTAGAGATGGGTACGGGTGGCCGTCCAAAATTCGTACAGGGTCGTCGGACATTCAATTCATACATTTTACATAAGAACTCTTTATATTACGATATGTAATTGGAATTTCAAAATTTAATGCATTGGAAATTTGTTTTTTAACAAGTTTTGTACCCTATAAATTATGTAGTCATTATATAAGTTAAATGAAATAACATCGATAATTCTTCTCGGTATTTTCTATATTTCATTTCCATCACAACTAGTATATCACTAAACTCGGAATTAGTTTTATACTCTCCGAAAGTTAAATAAGGGAAAGCTCACAAATCTCTACAACGAAACAAAACTCGAAAAATATTAAGGTGCGTAATGATAATTTTCATTAAAAATCAAGTTCTGACAAAGGTATCATACTGTGTTATTTTTCATCAAAATTTAACACTACAAGTGTACCCACGATATAGCATGTAGTGCTACTTGTCACAACATTTTACACAAGTAAATATTCATCGACTTCTGTTGAACTCCTAATAACTTATGAATAAACAATCATCTAGATTTAAGAATCTAATTTGTTTCTATACCTTTTTTTTATTTTAAGGAAAGATTCAAATTGATGAATAAAAATTCGTTCAAATAGTTATTTTAAAAGTTCGTCGTTTTAGTTTAGGGTCTCAGATTTTTTCTTGATATTTTCGTGTATTTTATGCTCTACTCGACCTGGTACTGAATGTCTGGCTTGCAGTGGGTCTCCACCTCAATTTTCTGTCAACCGAAGCAAGGATTCAATTTTTGCTGCCTCGTGGTTGAGGGTGATTTTCAGATTTGATCAAATGCTGGCTAATCAATGAGGGAGTAGAGAGACGGTGATAGTCAGAGGAGGTGGGAGCGATCGGACGGGATATAGCCATTGAAGAATTAAGAATTGGGATATTCTTACACTAGAATATGATTTGAATTTAAAGAGCCCTACATAAGATGATAAGAATCCAAAAGTATTTTTCAATTTAAAGAAAAAAGGAAGTGCAGGCAGGCCATTTTCCACTCAAATCAATCTCATTCAGTATTAGCACAACTTAAAAGGGCAAAAAATTTCAACAGCATTCTACGAGGATAATTTTCATTTAAAAGAGGTTCAATTTGGTCTGGTTCAGAAGAAAATGGGAGCAAAATAGATATTGAATTAACCCCAGCTAAGGAATCAGCTTGGCTTAGCCATGGCCCGTCAAACGCATAATGCCATAATCTGATCTCAATCCACAGCAAAGACCAATTCAAAAGATCATATTGGATTGCTTCTTGTGACTAAACGACATCCATCTCAAAGATAAGCTCGACCACTTGGGCTGACCTTAGGCAGTCGCCAAGTGCAATGGAGGTCGCCAACCTAGGCCATGGGCCTTCTTGATCACCCATTGACCCCAAATTCTTCCTATTTGTTACCCATCGTACATGTATATAATCCTAGGAGCCATCACATGAAGTACACGTAAATCCATCTCCTGAACGGGCACCAAAAAAGCAAAATTGCACAACATCTACATCTTATGACACATCTTGACCAATACGACAGAATAAACCAAGTCAGCTCGTGACTGATCTCTAAAAGCTGGTTAAGAATCAACTTGAACAAGCCAAACTCGATAAGTTAAAGAAATAACAAATTACACTAGAAACTCTCATAATACAATAACTTAATTCATTACAGACAACCTATTATTTAGGTTAACTCAATTCGTTTACATCCCCCTACATTTTATCAAATATAGGTCACAAGAATGAAAATTGACATGACCAATACCGAAGTTCGTGCAACATAGAAACTACTCTCTAGTGTAATGTTGAACATTTATGAAACAATTCCAAGAGTAAATAAGCACGGAGTTAAACATCCCAAAAATGGGAAAATGCAATAGCATTATTGTAAAAGTCAATTAAAAAATATAGTAAAGATCCAATCAAAATAAGTAACTCATATCAGCAATCTGATGAATAAGAAAGAATTAGCATAAAGACATTTCCCAATTTATCCACTAAGTAAAATGGAAGATAAAGAACAATTTTTGAGAGCCCAAATTCCTTCAATTTTAAATCATGGATAACAGAAATTAATGAACCACAGAGTACCAAGTAAACCTGCAGAAGGCCACAGAATATATACATGTAAAACAGACCAAAAGAAGCCACAATCGTGTTGTGGCACCCACAAAATAAATCTACCTGATGGTCACAAACTTGTTGGTACCATGTTTTGCCCAGTAAGTCTTTAGATCAATTGGGTTAACAAGATTATAGCCTTCTGATGCGAGTTTCTCCAGAACCTTCTTGAAAGCACCTTGACTCATCTTCCGTCCAGCAATTCTTGCTCCACGTCTTTTGGTACTCATTGGCAGGGGATACATTGATATGGTTGTGGTGCAACAGGCTGACTGCCAACCACCACATCCCCATCGATAACATTGCTGGGGAGTGCCGGTACATGAGCAAACAGGAATCGGAATAGCAGAAATATCAATATCAACGCCATTTATTATAATGTCAAGATTCTTCTTTGATGTTTTGGCACGCTGAACAGAGGAGTTACCAATTTCCTTAGGCAAAGAAGGACCTTTCTTTGACTTCTTTGCCTTGGGGGTTTTTGGTGCAGCAGCAGCCACAGATCTCTTCTTGGCATGGACATCTTCCTTCTTAACACTTGGATCCTCTACACTCACATTTGAATCTTTGGTTGAATCGGGTTGTTGAAGCACCTGCATGGAATGATGAGTTCCCGAAGTTTCCATGAGCACTGGGTTATAAAGATTCCCAGGAAACATGTGTAAGAATTTTTCTCTGTGGTTTATCCAACTGTCTCTAACATAATCCATATGTGTGACAGGTGGTTCTGTTACCATGCAATCCCGGGGATGGAATGCCCCATTCGCTGCAACCATAACAGGAGTATCATGCCCTGCAAGGAAAGGTTTAGCGTCTCGCTCAGCCACAGATGACATGAGTTGAAGACCGAGATGCCCTTTAAGGCCAAGGGAAGGTTCATAATAACCCCAATTCCTCGCGTTCAATCCTCCGTCATCCATATAGCTACAGATAACTCCGAATTCAGTAAGTCCTTTCCATAATCCCAGTTAACCATAATAGGCATTGCATTCATGATTGATACAAATAACAAAAGGTCCATAGAAACCAGGCAGCAAATACGCAAGCACAGGAATTAAAACTGAAGCAGACCAAGGCACCAACTCTCTCTAAACAGATACAATCAATAAAAGAGATCAAATCATACACTCATTATTAGACATTTCAACCATTGATTGAAGTTACATAAAATTCCAGAAGGCTCACGAGTCATGTGATCATAAGCAATGGAAATTACTATTGAGAAAATAGGTAACAAATTGCTCATTGCAGAAAGAAGATTGTCCACTATTTTTCATGCAAATCCTACAAAATGTGAATCTGTCGAAGTAAAAATGGAAATCAAACGGATCTAAAATAATAACTAACAAAACCCACGTACAAAATGAATAATATAAATTCCGTAGCTCATAAACATCCCAGTAAGTGAAGATCTCAAACAAAAGTTTCAATGTTTAGAATTTCAAACGCAGATCTGAAACAAAAAGACTCACAGAAAAACAGACCCATATAACAATTAAAGTATCAAGCTATAAAAATTAGAACACAGATGACATTAAGAAAATATTTCTAATTTATGCAAGAATATATTAAAACAGATGTTTGAGCAAATATTCAGATTTAGCAGGTGGTCACAGAGTGAGGGCCCAGATAATTTTTTACAGAGCGAGAGAGAGTACTTGCTTGTGGGTAAACAACACTTTTAGGGTTTTTTCCACTTCTGGAGAGAGACAGACATCAAAGAGAGGTGAGAGGAGATGAGAGGGGGGTCAAAAAAGTTAAAATTCAGTTTCTATCGATACATTTTTCACGTTGGGTAATGCTGTGTGGACGTCGCACGGTGGTGACTACAATGAACACATGTATAATACCAAATAATTGGGGGATGCACCCCAGCAGGGCACTCCATGTATCTATTATGAACATCATTATGAAAAATGCTCACGTCAACAGATATTATCGATGACAGTAAAATGTTTTTACTTCACATGAAAAACAATAAAAATGTTGTTACTATAATGGTCGATTGTACAACTAAACTCGTTTGTTATTATAATTTTTGAAATAATGTTTTTTTGTGAAAAATGTGTGATTGAAAAGAACAGAGAGAAAAATGTATTATGATTTTAANACAATGCGCACAGGCCCTATGTGGATTTAAAAATTATGGCTTGTGGTTCTCACCTCCTAATGTGAGTGGGGTATAAGAGATTAGGTAAAAAATTATGTATATGTAGCGTAATCCTTGCTTTTATTATTAATTGGTGGAACAAGTTCTTTATACCAAAAGGTGCTTTTAAGAATTTTAGCACTCCACCTAATGCCAAGTGAAGTGTTTATAGAGATTGGAGTCTTTTAAGGGGTCATATGATTTTATTCCGTTAATTGAAGGAGTACAATATTGTCTCCACAGAATTAGAAACAGAAATTGATGGAAGTCAATGATGGTACAATTTCTATTTTTTTTTTTTCTATTTTAGCAAGCTCTTTTTTTTATGTATTTTTTTTCCGTTCTAAAAGTTTCATCAAGATCTTCGTTAGAAAAACATCTTCTTTGGACATGTCGTTTGGAGATCCACAGGAACTGCCCTGACTATAGGCGGCGTAGACAATTGCCTAAGGTCCAGTTTTGATGAGGGCCCCAAATTATGTAAAATTAATTGATTGGTTGAAAAAAAAAAAAGAAAATTATCATATGCAAACTCAAGAAACTAATAAAATTTGGAAATACATATATATTTTAAAAAAATTATATAAATGACATAAAGCTTATTACATAAATATATCAAAGTCATTTCTTTCGCTATGTATAATTTGATCATTTATCTTACCAACCATAATTTTTTCTTAGATGTCACTTTCCTCTTTTCCAGATTTACGACCATTATTTTTTCTAATGCTTTCATGGTGAGTTTTAAACTCATTTAAGGAGCTGCTGCTAAATGTACTCATATTTGTTTCTCCCTCTCCACATTCTTACATTTTGTTTTATTTATCCTTTTTTTTCAGTTTTTAAGTGTCATTCTATTAATGATGCTATAATTAAACCAATGCTTCTCTACGCGTTATGTATTTTGGTTTGGGATTTTCTTGATTAACTTATTATTCTTTTTTTTCTCCATATTTATATTCACACTAGAGTTTAAATTTTGCATGTTATCTTTCAATTTTCCTGATTATGTTTAATTATTTTTTTTCCATTTTATTTAATTGTTTTCTAATCAAAGTCAACAATTGATTTTAATCACACATTTTATAAGATACCTAATTTTTCATTCACACATTCCATCAACTTTTATTAAAATCTGCTAAAAATTATTTTTAATATTTATCAAACAGGGGCTTAATATTCATCGGAGCCCCCATATTTAAAGTTGGTATAAGGTCCCCAAAATATCAGGGTTCTCCCAAAAGATCTTGTGAGGTTTCATATATGCTTTGCTTGATTGAATTATATTCTCCCTTTTTCTTACCGTCGTTGATGCCATGTGCTAATGTTTGCATTATAGAGAACTTCTAGAAGCGATCTTGACCTCATATGGCTTCAAGCATCACTTGTCAAGCCACCATATGTGGTATGAATTATGCTGTTTTGTCAGAGAGAACATATCATCCTTGTTGATATATACTCACATAGGAGTGAGACCCATATAAATAAAAAAATGCTAAAGAAATTATGCTCCCCCCATTGTGAGGGGTTTGTTAGGTAGAATGTCAAACATTCTCTAACATCATAGCAAGATTATATGTGATATTCATAATACAACACTTGCAATATAACGAATTACGTGCCTTATATCACGTTCAACCCCACATAATGTATAAGTAGATTGAATTGCAAATATAAAACTACACATAATGAAAATAGCATTATGATATAGAATTATATTTTTAGATTCAACTCTATTCATGAATTTTTGGGTTCGCTGAAAATTTAATTTTTACTTTTTCGGTTACCATGAGTGAAAAAATTGTGTTATGTGTGAACATACTTTATACTTGATATTGTACCAAAAATAATTAAAATTACTAGAAATTATTTTTTAAAAATAACCTGATAAAAGTATAAAGTGGTAATTACATGGAGCCCTACTTATCAAGATACAAATTCAAAAATCTGATTTTAAGTTTTAATGTTTAAAAATCAGATATTTTATATAAAGATACATATTTTTCATATTTAATTAAATATTATTAATAATATTATAAAAATTACTACATATACATCCACCCCCACCACTAAATTTATTTTCAAATCCTAAATCACATTACCCTCTCTCTGTCTCTCACTCCTCTGTCACTCTCACTCCGTCTCACCACTGAACCGCCGTCGCTCGTCGGTGCAGCTCTCCTCTCCCTAACGTTTCTCTCTCTACAAGTCCTCCCTCTCGTCGATCACCTCTCTCCGTTACCCTATTACCAGCCTCGGCCGACGAGCAAAGCAAGGTGCACTGTTGCTGTCGGTGACTGGCATCCCTCTACCGTCGCGGCGCAGTCGACATCCCTCTCCTTCTCTACAACAATCGACGTCCCCTCTCTCTACCTTTCATGTGTGACCTTGTAAGGTCCGACAGCAAACCAGATCGTTCGAGCCAAGAGCCACCGAAGAATATCCTGCAACTGAACAATTCAAAAAATAATTGAATTAACCAGCACCAACATTGACAGATCTGAAGTGGTGAGTGTAGACGCAAGGTGGACTCTGTTGAGAGTCTAGAGAGAGAAGGACAGAGCTGTCGGGCCTACAATTTACTGACATTGCTTTCTCTCTAACGAACGCGGCGACACTGCTGCGTGCAGTGGTGGCGGGGACGGAGGATTCGGGAATTTTTTGGTGGTTATGGTGTAATTTGGGGATTTTTTGCTGTTTGTGGTGGATTTGGGTTTTTTTTAGCGGATGTTGTGGTTGTGGTGTAATTTGGGCATATTTTGGGTGGATGTTTATATGGTGGTTTGAGGCGTTGTGCAGTGTGTTTTGTGGTGGTTGTGGAATGTGGTTGGTGGTTGTGCGTGCGGTAGCGGTGGTTTTGTGTGGATGTTTCTATGGTGGCTTGCGGCGTTGTGCAGTAGGTTTTGTGGTGATTGGTCGACATGTTTTGTTGCGGTTTTTGCTGTGATGGCTGTGCTGTGAGCCTGTGACCAATGCTGTGACCTGAGCCATATATTGTGACCGATGCTGTGACTATCAATAAAAACCTGAGTCATGCCCCAAAAAATATTCTGTGACATGTGCTATGGCCATTTGAAATAAACTTGTGACTATCAATAAGAAACTGAGTCATTTGAAAATAAAATGGGACTATGAACAAAACTGTGACCTGAGCGATGTGCAATATATGTACTGTGACCGATACTGTGACCATTTGAAAATAAGCTGTGACTATTAATAAAAATGTGAGACGTGAGCCTTATTGTGTTATCAATTATTGTAAACGAAAAATCACGTGTTGTGACCTGTGACCTAGGTTGTGACCTGGACTGTGACCTGTGACTTGGGTTGTGAC